GTTTCAGAAGAGGGTTTGAGAGAGAATCTCAGAGCGGCGTTAGGGTGAGAGGTGAGGATGAACAGTGCTAGGGTTAGGGGAGGAGAGCTGAGTTTTGATGTATATTGGGTTAGGGTTTGGACGTTGGGCTTAGGCCCAAACGTGTCTCTGAACGCGCTACACCCCCTCAATTGCTAGTTCCCCCCCCCTGTTTGAGAGACCTGAGAATAATTGGGGTGGGCCTTAGGCCCAATTGCTGTTAACACCCCTCTTTTGAGCCCAGTAATGATAATCAACTAGGAATTACTAAGTCAGCACCCCCCTGCGCCCAGCTCAGCTTTTTTTTGTTTTTTTCTGGATAATCAATCTGGGCCCTGCGCCCCATTTGCTAGTGGCACCCCCAGAATCAGGGCCCAGCTGAATAATAACCCATAAACTCTTGCTGTTTGCACCCTCCATGTTATTTTCTTTTATTTTGATTTTTTCTTTTATATTTCCACATTAAATGAATCATAATAAAATGTAAATAAATGTTTTTTTCAATAATTCTTTTTCAACCCTTTCATGAAAAATGTTAAGAAAATTAAATAAAAATAAAAAAGGACATTTTATTTTTATTTTCTATTTTAGTGCATATTTTCCATTTAATTGATTTTTTAATATTTTCAATGCATGCATATCATTAGAAAATTCATAAAAAATGGTAGAATTAGTCAAATAATTCCGTTCTTTTTTCTATAGACTCGTGATTCAGTGTAGAATTTTATAGCATAAAAACATTAGCTTAATCATGCATTTTCATTTTAATTGCATTTTTTCATTGTTATTGATGTTGGATAAATTGGTCTGTGGATATGTCTGTGTTGCTGATTTTATTTCTTTCATCTGGTGTTGAACTTTGTTCTGATTTTTCAGTATGTTGTCCTAGAGCCATGTAGGTCTCCCCTAGATTTTTATTAGATTTTTGTAGGGTGTCCTGATGTGATTTGTCTGAGCCTGAAAATAGGAGAAGCTTTGATGACTTCTGACTTTGAAGTTCAACTGTGGTTGAACTTCAGAGATAGTCTCCTGTGGCTTGTTGGCCTGTGGGTTCTTCCTGAAGTTGGGAGCTGATGGAGGTCCTGTTGGAGCTTGCAAGGATGCAGTAGTTTGAGGCTTAGTCTAGGAGCTTGTTGTCTGTTTGTGAGGTTCGAGATCCTGAAGTTTGAAAGGAGCTTGTGGTACTTTCCTGAGGAAGGCACTATGAATGACTTTCATCCTTCCTTCTCACCTCTTTCGTAAGTATCCAATGATGTCGGAGCCGACATGTGAGTTTAATTTCTCCTGAGGAGGAATATAAACTGATCACATATTGTTGAGCCACATGGGATACGATTCCTAAGTGGAAGCCTCCTAGCACTTTCCTGAGGAAGGTCCTATGGGTCTATTCACTTAGTTCCAGTAGTTTGTCTAGGATTTCGTAAGTATCCAGTGATGTAGGAGCCGACTTGTGAGTTTAATTTCTCCTGAGGAGGAATGTAAACTAATCACAGTTGTTGAGCCACGTAGGATATGATTCCTAAGTGTTAGCCTCCTAGTACTTTCCTGAGGAAAGTCCTATGAGTCTGCTCACTTAGTTCCCTTAGTGCATATAGGTTCTTTCCCAAATATCCAGTGACGCCGGAGCCTTCATGTGAGTTTAATCTCTCCTGAGGAGGGATGTAAACTGATCACAGTTGTCGAGCCGCATAGGATATGACTCCTGAGTAGTAATCTCCTGGTACTTTCCTGAGGAAAGCACTATGAGCTTGTCTGCTTAGCTTCCTTTCTCTGGTAAGCTTGTTCTGAAGCTTGGAGAATGGGATTGATTCCTCTTGCCTAGGAGTTTGTTTAGATCCTTGCTTAGGGTTTTGATTAGGTGTTTGCTTAGATCCTTGCTTAGGGTGCTGTATAGAGTTTTGTTTAGAGATAGATTAGGAGATTGTTTCAGGTTTGTTTGAGGCCCTGGTCAGGGTTAGTCTCTTTGTGTTGTTTGACTTGTGTGATGTTATGTTGCATTAGACTTAGGTGTTCATCCAGATAGTTCTGAATAGGTGCATCTTAGAAGTAGACTTTGTGTGCATAAGAAGTTGAGGTGGTCCTCCTTCTGCTTGTTTGTTATTGCGTGGCTTTGCTTGTTGGTATTTGGTAGAGCTGAGCTCCCTTGCCTTTGTGGTTTGTGGCCTCTGTGCCTTGTTCGTCTAGTTGTTGCATTCATGCATATTTTTCAGTATTCATTTACGTTGCAGTTTCTTGTTTGTGGTTTAGTCCTGTTGCCATGATCCCTTAGGAGCTCTGACTTCCCCGCTGCGGAGTTGTTATGATAGACATTAGGATGGTCAACCAGGTGTGGTAGCAGTAGGTAGATTCCCCTGTTTCTCAGCTATAGTTTTTAGGGTTTCCCTTTCCTTTCTGTAGGAGCTTTTGAGTAGCTTGATCCGTAGTTAGCTGAACTACAGCTGCTCTGATTCTTCGTTCCAGACGAAGATATGTAGGCATAGGATGCGATATCCTAGCGAGCACACTAACGACTAACTTTTGTTCTCTCGCGGCTGTGCGATCGAGACTTTCCCGCTAACGTCTAATTGTTATCCCTTTCTCTTGCCCGAGCGCATTTGAGACCAGATCATAGTTGTAGGCTCCCGAGCCTTAGAGACCAGTTTGTTTTCTCACTGTTGTGTGAGAGCCCCTGTTTACCCGTAGTTAGCCGAACTACGTTTGCTCTGATCTTTCATTTCAGATGAAAGTACGTAGGCACAGGACGCGATGTCCTGGCGAGCAACCTTTCCCCCGTTTAGACGTAGGCAGCCGAACTACGTTGACTCTGACTTTCCCATTGCACGAGGGAATACGTAGGCCCAGAACACCGTATGTTCTGTCGAGTCCTGTCCTTTTATTTTCTTTTTAGACCAGCCATTAGCGTAGATAGATAATACACCCTTTTACCTATAAACACCAAGCGTGGATCCCATCGAGTACGATGGACGTGAGGGGTGCTAATACCTTCCCCTTGCGTAACCGACTCCCGAACCCAGGCTATGGTTGCGATGACCATACCTTTTCCCCGTTTTTTTGCGAGGTTTACTTCGAGCGTTTCCTTTCCCGCTCTGAGGGATAAATAACGCACGGTGGCGACTCTCCTGTCAAGCCGGCGCCGATTTTCGCAGTAGCGACAGTGGACCACTGACGGATTCGAAATAATTTATTGTATAGAGTTAATTATCAGATAAGGAATAGATTCGAATTGGGTGGTGGACCACTGACGGATTCGAAATAATTTATTGTATAGAGTTAATTATCAGATAAGGAATAATTAAAGCAAACACTACACTGGCATATTGAAACAACAATAATTAAAGCAAACACTACACTGGCATATTGAAACAACAATAATTAAAGCAAACACAACACTGACAAATACTTCATTGAAATTAATTATCAAACAGTTCTGCCTCCAACTTTTTCAACAGCTGGTTCTTCCGGTCATCTAGATGCTCTTCGGAAGTTAGCTTTAGATACATCTTCATTTTCTTGGTTTTAGTCTTTTCCAAGGCTATATTGTTAGCCTGCTGTTGCATCAAGGCTATGTTGTCCAATCGTTCAAGCTCTTTCGTCTTGAATTCTTTGTATTCAGCCCATTCTTTGTCCACCACCTCCGAGGCATATTCCTTGCTTTTCTTTTTACCCTTTTTTTTAGCTGCCTCCCTTCCTATAGGACGAGCACTGGATTCTACAGTGTTTGAGCCACATGCATCACTCTCGCGAGATCTCTTAGATCCACTACTTCCTGAGCCAATATTTCCTCCTACTTGACTACCATAACGTGGTTGATCACGGAGAGCGTGCCATTCTTCCATTAAAGTGAATCTAACATTCTTCCCACATGCATATAATTCCTGCGCTTTTGCCAAAACATCATTCTCCGACCAACCACTTCCTTGCATACGCTTAGCGCCATCATAAGCGCCAATCCATTTACCCAACACTTTGTTCATATAATTAAAACGGTTTCGGCATGCAGGTCCATCACGCGGAGGATCGAATGAGCAATGCTCATTACAATACTCAGCAATTTTACCCCAATATGTTTCACCTTTCTGGTTTCTCCCGACAACACTGCTTGTTCCAAATTTAATCCACCCACTAATTAGCACCAAATTTTGTTCAGTGTTCCATGCTGGTTGCTGAGTTTTCCTGCTCTTAGGAGTTGAATCCTCTGAATTCGGACTGACTTCATTAGAAACTATCATGCCACCAATAGTTAGTTGTGTTGAAAACTCGGAAAATTCAGGTACACCACCACTTGGAAAATTTGCATTCGCCATTGTCACATAACCATTAAACGGGGGTGTTTGAGATGGATTTCTCGGCATAGATCCATAATATGTTTGAAAGTTTGGAACAGAGGATGTCTGGTTGAAATTTGGTGGAAAACCAAAATTAGGTATGTTTTGAGGATGTTGGTTGGAAAATTGATTTGGATTTTGATAATAGTTGGGATTTTGATAATTGTTGGGATTTGGAAAATTGTTGGGATTTTGGTTAAATGGAAAATTAGCAGAATTTTGAGTGTTAAAATGATTATTGGGATCCATTTCACTAAAAAAAGACACTTAACTTCAAAATAAACACTAATAATAAAATTAAGATAGTGAAAAACTTAGTTTTTTTTTCTGTGTCCAAATCAAATGAACCAAGTCTCTATTTATAGAGAGAAAAAAATCATGAATTTTGGTAAAAAAAAAAAAAAATTAATTTGCAACGAAATAATTGAGTTCAAAGTATTAAATGGATAAAAATCTGGTCAGCCAATCAAACACAGCCACGTGGCAGATTAAATGGTGTTGAGTTTTCTCAACATCTCTCTCCTCCAACACACACTCAACACTACATTACACACCCATTGCACATGATTTTGTGGTGTCGACTTTAAATAAATCTACCATTGTAAATGGTCTTAGAATGGAAGAACTGAAATTTGGGTGAGAAGTGAGAATAGAGAGATGAGTAAGATATTGGTTGTGGGAGGCACTGGTTACTTGGGTCAGCATCTATTACAATCCTATGACAATCAATCTCTCGCAGTGGCATTTACCTATCACTCCACTCCTCCTCCTCAACCGTTCTTGGACGCATTTCCCGATTCCCTCCCTTTCCAAATCGATTTGAAATCCGGCATTGGATTTGAAGCCATTTCCAACGAATTCGGCCAGGTTCTTTTCTCTCTTTTCCACCCTCCCAACTTTCATTTCAATTAGGTCACTCACAAAACTTGATTTTTACTTTTTTTAGTAATTAGGGTGATCAGACTCAATACAGAAGGTAAAAGGGCTACCAATCAACATTACAAGAAGTTAGATGTGTGTTGTTAGCAATTTAGGGGCTGTTTGGATAAGTTTATTTTAGCTTATCTACATTCGCAGACACTTTAATACAGTTTGAGAGAGCTTGTGCAAACACAGCTTATAAACGATTTATAGCTTATTCAAAACAGTTTATTGTAAGACTGTCGGTTTGTTATTGGCAGCCTGACGTGGTTATCAATTGTGCTGCCATCTCGGTGCCTCGTGCGTGTGAAATTGATCCTGATACTGCAAATGCTATTAATGTACCATCATCCCTTGTAAAATGGATGCAGAGCTTTAAACAGAACAGTACCCTTCTCATTCATCTCTCCACAGATCAAGGTAAACCGATCTTATCGTGATCGATATATTGCATTGGTTGTTCATATCCATTTTCATTTATACTGAGTTTCAGCTAAATTGTAATTTATGTTTCTTCTCATTAGTTTATGAAGGGGAGAAGTCCTTTTACAAGGAAGAAGACATTGCTATTCCAGTAAATGTCTATGGAAAAACTAAACTGGCGGCGGAAAAGTTCATTTCAGAAAATTTCCCAAACTTTGCAATTTTGAGAAGCAGTATCATCTATGGGCCACAAACTCTCTCACCAGTTCCAAAATCTCTTCCTGTTCAGGTGCATTTTTAGGGTCTGTTTAGATTGATTTATTTTAGTTTATTACTTGCAAAACTGTGCGAGAGAACTTATGGAAGCAACTTATAACATATTCATAAGCTATTTTCAGCTTATTTTCATATCTCTCTAGGATAGCTGATGATAACACAGCTTATATAAAAATGGTTTAGTTTGATTCTATCTTTTCATATGCAAGTAGCTTATACATAGACACTTACATGATAAGCACTTAATTAAGTTGTTTGACCTTGTTTGGATTTATTGGAAAACTAATGCTTCTAGCATTTGGATTGATGAAACTTGAGATGTCAATGATACTTGTAAGTTTTGCTACTTATTGCATGATCAATAAGACGCTTCTTTCTTAAAAGATGGTGGTAGTGCTTGGCTCATCATTTACTTATTTTTTGCTCAACGCTGTTGCAAATATTACACTTGTCTATTATTGCTCATTAGATTCTTCTTATAATTCTTATAATTACTTCTTAATGTATGATTTACTTATACTGTCTAACTATTGCAGTGGATGGATGGTGTCCTTTCTAAAAGAGAAACAGTTGAGTTCTTTCACGATGAGTTCCGTTGTCCGGTTTATGTTAAGGATCTCGTAACTATCATACTAGCTTTAACAAACCAATGGATATCAGGTACAAATATTTTTGTAAATAACCTCGTATATATCGGTTAGACAGGCTATATGCTGCAAATGAGTTTCTTGATGAAACTGATTTTCAGTTAGACCTTTTTTAAGGTTGCAAAACATAATTTTATTGAGAACCTCAGTCATTATTACCTATGAAAATACTATGCCAGAACTTTTCATTTTCTAGTGTACAAGTTAAATATTTTAGCAACTTTTTATTCTTGTGCATGTATTATAATTTCCTTAGGTATTTTAGTCTTACACTTTTGGATGTTCTTTGAACTAGCTTAAACTTATCGATTTTTCTTTCATGATTTGATTTCTGATTCTTGTCACAGGGAGCAAACAAATGCAGTTGTTACTTAATGTTGGTGGACCAGATAGGGTATCACGCGTTCAAATGGCTCAGGCTGTTGCACAAATCAGAGGGTATGACACGTCATTAATCAAACCAGTGCCTGCTTCATCGGTATGTGTTATGCTTCATTTATCACAAAATAAAATTTGTGATACAGAATAAGTTTCATGCTTTCTTTCTTCATCTGCATTTTCTGTGTCTTCGTGAAGAATTATTAACCTCATTCTGTGTTACAGAATAAGATGTTATTTCGTAATCAAGGATTCAAGTTTTTTTTTTTTCTCATTCAGTGTCATAGCCGTCAAAGCTTTTCATTTATCTTTCGATGGCCATTTGAGCAGTTCTGTAACATGATTTCATTTGACTTCTTTTGTTTCTCTGATTGTTCTTTACTGCAGGTTGACCGAGGTGTAAAGTCCCCAGCCGACATATCTATGGATATCACTAGATTGGTTCAAACTCTAAAAATTAATCCGGTTTCATTTAAAGACGGCGTTAACTTAACACTTACAACTGAAGCTTAAATGAAGCAGAAACGAAATTGTCGTATAAGGCTTCCTTGTTCAGCATTTGAGTGTTGTTACTTACCATTCAGATTGTTGTAAAATAAATCTAAATTCTTGAAAAACTCAAGCCAACTCATTTTGTTTGACCTTCATGGAGTAATCGAAATATTATTCTGTAAACAAAAGAAATTATTTTCTAAAACAATTGTTTGGAAATATGCCAAAAAACAAAACAAAAGTTGATGTGGAAGAACATTATGATGTTTTTAGCAATTCTTGTCTCAAAGAATAAACTTTGTGGTCAAGATTAAATGGGATGAAGATTTTCTACTAGAATTTTCATTTCAAGAAAAAGATAGGCCTATCCAATTATTCTATGGCCAGAATTAGATTATGATTCTTTTCTTTCCCTTCCACTTTCTGCTCTATAGCCAATTTTCTTAACATTTAGTTAAAAATGTCTTCCTTTGTTTCCCTTAATACCCTTCATGGCTCTCTTCTTAGATCCAAATTCTTAGGCCAAGAAAATCTCACTCATTTTTATCCTCACAGCAACAAAGCTTCCATCTTTCACAGCAAACCAACCTACAAAACAGTACGAATATGTGCCGAATTCGACCTGCTGCAAATCATGGGAGGCAGAGGACTCTGTAAAGGAGAAGAAGGACTTCAAAAAGAGCTCAAAAGAGAAATTGGTTTTGATGATCAGAATCAACCACCGTCATCAGAAGCAGCTAATAACAACTCATCACAGTCCTTTGAAAGTGTTGCAGAAGAAGGTTTTGAGAAAGAGTTAATGGGGTTAACCGGAGGGTTTCCAGGAGGTGAAAAAGGGTTGAGGAAATTCATTGAAGAAAACCCTGTTCCAAGACCTGATACAGATGAGAAAAGATTTAAACTTTCATCGTCAGAAAAGGCGAAACCACCGGAACTTCCTATGTTACTTCCAGGAATGATTGCTATAGTGAAGAATCAGAATAATCCATTTTATATGTACTGTGGTATTGTCCAAAGAATCACTGATGGTAAAGCAGGAGTACTGTTTGAAGGAGGAAATTGGGATAAGTTGATCACTTTCAGGCTTGATGAACTAGAGAGGAGAGAAAAAGGTCCTCCTATGAAGAATCCTAAGTCTTGTGTTCTTGAACCATTTCTTGTAAAGAAATCATAGTTTGCAGGACCTTGTTACCATTTTGTAACAAAACATGTTTACTTAAAAAATTTAGTGCTGAATTTGTAAATTTGTTTAAAGTACCTTGTTAAAAAAATGGTTTATAATTTAGTGTCATTTCAAGGAAATTAGATCCCTTGTTGTCACTGTTATGCCGCATTCACGCATTCGACGTGTTTTCAATCGTTGGATCAAGATTTAACAGAATGCGTGAATGCAGGAAATATTGAATGCTTGGCAACCTGATCCGATTTCAAGTGTTATATGTATGTACAGACTTGTTACAACATTGTCCTGGCATGGAACTACTATCATATAAGATGATTCATGCTTTTCTATTTAAATCTTGTCGGGGGAGTATGAGGAAGCCCCGAGAGCAACATCAAACCAACTTTCACATTCTATAACAAATTTTAATATCAAAATTGAGATATAAGAACTCAGACAAAAAAATTACAGGGATTAAAATTAAAAGCTTGCTAATTTACAGAGACTAAAAGATTATTTAAGTCTTTTGAAAATCATAACACTTTGTTCTAGTTTATTTGAAACTGAAATATTTTATACCAATAACATCCTTTGGGTGGACATCCTATGCCACAAAAGAATTTGAAACTGGGTAGAATATTTTTTTGAATAGGAAGAAAGAATTTACCAAGTTAACTCATATTAAAAGAGAATTAAATCAGGACAAGTCATAGGTGGAACCACCCGTAAATTTATGTGGTGGCACGTTTGTTTATGCATTTTTGTTTTTATCTTACATTTTAATATTTTTTAATATATATCTAACATTACTCGTATAAACGTTGAAATTAATGTTAAGTTGTAAATGATTGGTAAAATAAGTAGTGTCAATTGAGCAGGTCTGGTGGGAATGTGACGCCCCGATTCTGAATTTCCATTAATTGTTGAGTCTTTTAATTTATTTAATTGATGTTTATTTTAAATTGAGAAATTATACATTGCTATGTGGTGTTTTGCTTATTTTATCTATTTTTACCGATTCGGAGAGTTTTCGGGGAATTAGAGTAAAAAGGGCATTTTAGTCATTTAGCACTTTAGTGTGAGAATTGATTGATAAGTGTTGGAAAGAATTTGAGAGGAAAGAAATAGAGATAGAAATAGAATAAGAGAGGAAAAAGGAAGAAGATAGTAACATAAGAAGAAAAGCAAGAGAAAGAAAAGAGGAGAAGAGAAAGAGAAGAGAAAGTGGAGAGGAAAACCTAGAATCATCAAGGGATCATCACCAAAGCTTGCAATCGATCGGTAAGGGTGTGAAACTCCATCATCTCTTTAATGTGTATGATTGTATGTGTATGTGTGTGGATTTGTAGAGTTTCTACTCTTTTTCCACTTAGGTTAGAAGTTGGTTTTGTGAGTAGAATGAGGTTTTAATCGGTTAGAACTCGAATTAGACGATGTAGTTTAGTCGGGTGATGTTTGGGTTGTGCTACTGTGACTGGTTTGGATTTAATCGGTCGGTTGTGTGGAGTTTGGGCTTTGAGACAGCCATGGAAGTTCTGTCTTCGCAAGTTCGCCAGGCGAATGGCAGCGAAGCTTCGCCAGGCGAAGCCCAGCGAGCTGTAGCGAAGCAAGTCAGAAGCTAATATTCTGTATTCGCTGGCAAGTTCGCCAGGCGAGGTGAGTTGGCGAAGGTTCGCCAGGCGAGTAGGTAGCGAGCCTCAGCGAGTAATTCCAGAATTACTCCCAGTGGACTTCGCTGGGGAGTTCGCCAGGCGAAGGCCAGCGAGCATTCGCTGCGTGGCTTCGCCAGGCGAAGGTTGGCGAACCTGGCAGTGTTATTTTGTTTTGCTGTTTTGTTCATGACATGATGTTTGGTTGATTCAATTATGATTAATGCCTATATGAATGATTGATGTGTGAACTGTTTGACATGTCGTGCTGTGGGTGGCCGAAAGGCGTGAATCCTAGATTGTAGAGTAAATGATAAATCTTGAATATTTGATAATCTTGTGTATTTGCTCGAATTGAATAGAAACGCATTGATAGGCTGATAGGTATGTAAACCTTGTGTGAAATGGTGTATAATGTGAATGCATAATGAATATATGTGATGTATGTGATAAATGCAATAAGTATGTTTGTGAACATAGTGTGCATTTTTGTGATTGATCCCGTGGAGGATTTGCAGAACCTCGTATGATACGATGGTTATATTAGATTCCTTGGAGAATCGGTTGCATTGTGTGATTCCTTGGAGAATCGGTTGCATTGTGTGATTCCTTGGAGAATCGGTTGCATTGTGTGATTCCTCGGAGAATCGGTCATAACATGTAATCCCGTGGAGGATTGGCTAGAGTATTTGATTCCGTGGAGAATCTGCTGAGTACTTGATCCCGTGGAGGATCTGCTGAATATTCGATTCCGTGGAGAATCTGATGAATATTTGATTCCGTGGAGAATCTGCTGAGTACTTGATCCCGTGGAGGGTCTGCTGAATACTCGATTCCTTAGGGAATTTGTTTAATGAGTCGGTACCGCATTTGCATCTGCATAGGGTCGTGTGTCGGTCTCTATGAGTTGCATGAGTCATCTGTGTGTGATGCATTGGTTGTGTGAATATAACTGTGTATGTTATATATGATTGTTTGGAGGAAAATATAGTGAATGTTCATGTGTATGTGTAGAGACATGATTATTTGTATATGCTTAATGTGGTGAGAACATAATTTGAGTATAACTTGTATAATTATGGAGTTATGTATATATACAATTTTATGCATTAACTGTTATGATGTTGTTTCTCACCCTTCTGCTGTTTTCTAATGCTCTATGAGGCATTGCAGAGTAGGAAGCTGGAGGTTCTTTTTGTGAAGCGATGTCTTCATTCTTTTTGGTCAATGGCTCTGATATGTAACATCTGGGTAGTTAGGAAGCCTTTGACTCTTTTGGAGTTACATTTGTTTTGATTCTTTTGTGATACATATGTGTATGTATCTGCTGTGGATATGTTGTAAAGCATGAATTAATTGATGGTTGTATATACTTTTATGAATGAGATCGATTCAATATTTGGATGTTTCCGCTTTATTCTAAATATTGAGATGTGGGTTACCCATTGTTGCATATCTATTTTGAGCAGGTATCGTATGTGTTTAATTTCATGATAATGTGATGCGCCTCTTTTATACCATGTTTTAATTAAACTCTGATGAAATAAATTTTCTATGTGCCTAATTGATTTATCTAATTTATTTGGGGTATGGAAAGGGGGTGTTACATTAAGTGGTATCAGAGCCAGTGTTGAGTCAGTCGTGTCTGTCTTGTTGTTGTGTTGGTTGAACGGTTGTTTAACCTTGTTGTTATTTTTGGGAATCCTCAGAATATGGCAGGTCGTAATGACAATGCTATGGCAGCGGCGTTAGAGGCTATGGCCAGAGCTGTGCAGGGTGCACCTAACGTGAATGCGAATGATGAGTTCAGGAAGAACCAACCACCGGTGTTCAAAGGGAGATTTGATCCGGATGGTGCTCAAATATGGTTAAAGGAAATTGAGAGGATTTTTAGGGTGATGGATTGTGCTGAAGGGATTAAGGTGAGACTAGGGACTCACATGCTGAGAGAAGAGGCTGATGACTGGTGGGTCAGCATGAGGCAAGTTCTTGAGGTCGACGACGAGGAGATTACGTGGGATTTATTTCGTGCTGAGTTTCTAAGGAAGTATTATCCCGAAAGTGTTAAAGGGAAGAGAGAAATGGAATTTCTGGAGTTGAAACAAGGTAATATGTCGGTGGTGGACTACACCGCTAAGTTTACTGAGTTAGTGAAGTTTCACCCTCACTATGATGCGGTTACGGCGGAATTTTCCAAATGTATCAAGTATGAGAATGGCTTGCGTCCTGAGATAAAGCAAGCGGTGGGTTATCAAAGGATACGAAGATTTTCGGATTTGACCGAGTGTTGTAGAATTTATGAAGAAGATAGTAGAGCTCGTTCTACTCATTATAAGGGTTTGAGCGAGAGGAGAGGGAAGCAGCAAGTACGAAGCGGACCTTATGTGACGCCTGCTGATAAGGGCAAACATAGGGGAAACTTTGATAGAAGACCCGGAGGAGGTTCCGGTGCGATCAAATGTTTTAAGTGTGGCGTGATGGGCCACAAGTCTTATGATTGTGGAAAGTTCAAGGCGAAGTGTTCCAACTGTGGACTCTTTGGTCATGATGCAGCAGAGTGTAGAAAGAATGCTGTGAAGTGTTTTAATTGTGGCGAGGTGGGTCACATTAGCCCAAATTGTACCAAACCGAAGCAAGCTCCGGCGGGCGGAAAAGTTTTCGCATTAGCAGGTTCAGACGCTACTAATGCGGCGGATCGTTTGATTAAAGGTACATGCTTTATTAATGATATGCCTTTAGTTGCTATTATTGATACTGGAGCGACTCACTCGTTTATTTCTCTTGCGTGTGCTAAGCGGTTGGATTTGTGTATGGTTTCTTTGAGTAGTGGTATGGTTATTGGGACTCCCGCTTCGGGGTCGGTAACTACTTCTTTGGTGTGTGCAAGTTGTCCTTTGACCATGTATGGTAAGGACTTCGTTATGGATTTAGTGTGTTTGCCGTTGGAAGGTTTGGACGTAATCTTGGGTATGAATTGGTTGCAATTTAATAGAGTTCATTTGGATTGCTATCACAAGTTAGTAAGGTTTCCTTCTTTGGAAGATGGTGAAAACGAGAGTTTTCTTTCCACTAAAGAGTTGAAGAAACTTTTAGCGGACGAAGCTCAGTTGTTTGGTTTGTTTGCATCGTTGTCGGTGGAGAGCAAAGTTGAGCTCGACGTGTTTCCTGTGGTTTGTGAATTTCCTGAAGTGTTTCCGGAAGATGTTGCGGATGTGCCGCCAAAGAGAGAGGTTGAATTTTCTATTGATCTAGTTCCGGGTACTAGACCGATTTCGATGGCCCCGTATCGGATGTCGGCATCGGAGTTGGTGGAATTGAAGAAGCAGTTGAATGATTTGTTGGATAAGAGATTTGTAAGACCAA